TCAAATCACTCTTCCCATAATAATTCTACATTCCTACCCTGATTTAGAAATTTAGCAACTCATTGATTATAGAAATAACCTTCTTGCTCATTAATAATTCTTCCCTTAATAGTTCATTTTCTCCCTATAGCCTTCTTGCTGATATCTCTCACAAGAAATACTTCAAATTAAAAATACTATAGAATAAGCTTTCATTCATGGATGATTGATTGGATCTCTCCATCTTTAAATTTTCTTTTCTGAATTTATAAATGTTGCCTCTATATAAGGTTTCTTTAGTCCTGAAAATAAATCTAAAATGAAAAGGAAAAGATCATAGTTAGGTCCCAAAATTTTGAAATAATGACAATGAGGTTCTCAAAAAACTTTTTTAAAAAATGAGTTGTGAATATTGATCCAAATAAATATAAATTCAAAAATTTTAATTGTAGATAAGACATTTAAATATTAAATGTAACTTTCATATTTTATCTAAGATTATCTATATTTGTAATTTGATTTTTTTTTTTAATTTTGTAGTAAACTTAACCATCATTAATTTAATATTTTTAGAGGGGTAAAAATACTTATAAAGTGGTCAGCCAAGGGCTCTCAGTAGTCTAAAGTGAGAAAAAAGGGCATAAATACTTATAATGTTATATGAATGGGTGCAAAAGTGACCAAACCATTAACCATTACACCTACTAAAATAACATCATGAGTACTCATATAATGATTGATTACCCTCCATAGAAATTCACTTGAAAATGTTTTTTGTCCATGTGAGTGAAAAAATGGTCAACTTCTATTTAAATGTTAGCTAAACAGTTAACATTTAAAAGATTTGATAGATTAATTAGTTTTGTACCAATTTTGATAATATTATAAGTATTTTTGTCCTTTTTTCTAACGTTAGGCTATTAAATGCTTTTAATCGATGACTTCATAAGTATTTTTACTTCTTTTTAATTTATATTAGCAAAAATTGACACATGACATATGTAATCAATATTTAACACCAGAAACTAATAGTGTTAGGATAAGGTTAATGATTTAATCATTTTTACACTTGTTATAGATATTTATATCATTTTTTAACTTTAGCCCATTCTTTTACCTTTTTTAGAGGTCACTATCATTTTACCAAAGGAAACCATGTCAAAATTATGCGGCTCATTTTGGACATTATAGCCACACCGGCTCAACATTTTTATTAAGCATATAACTCCTGAAAAATTGAAGTAACTAAATTTTTTATTTTCTCAAAAAAATATATCATAAAATATATACTCTTTAAATTTTTGTGTAATACCATACTCTCTCCTGTTTTTATTGTAAAATACTTTTAATCATTTCATATACTTTAAAAAAAGTTAATTTTTTTTTATATCATAAAAAATGTACTTTCATTTTTTACTTTTGACTTCAAATAATGATAAGATTAGATTAAATAAATTCAAGCTAGTAAAGAAAAGATAAAATTACAAAAAAAATTAATTATTACAAGGTGTCTTATATTTTATATCAAAAATTATTTCTAAAAGATGTTCAACAAATAGGATTAAAGGGAGTATTTTATAGGGTTAAAGAGCAAAAAAATGTCTTGAAACTTTTTCATGAAGATCTCTATTATTCTAAATTTTGTTTGAAGTGATGTCATGTAAAAACTTTGAGGGAAAATGACAAAGAAGTTCTTCAAGTTAGGTCTCAAGTGTTAAATTTTAAAAATTTATAACTTAATCTTTTAATTTTGCACTTGCGTTGTGATAAATTTGTAACTTATTTTTTAAATTTTAACATAATTGAAGAAGAAAAAATTTATTTTTTATTAAAATTTAAAATATAAGTTGCAAATTTATGACAACAGAGTTGTAAAATTAAGAGATTGAATTATAAATTTTTAAAATTTAACATTTAAGACATAATTTGAATTAATTAATTTTTTTGAGACCTTTTTGTCATTCCGCCAAAACTTCAATCAACCCATGTTGAAATTGCTTGAAAAATTAGCATTATCATTTTAAGTTGAAAACTATGAGTAGTTTGCAATAAGCACATATTCCTTCGAGGAGACTATTGATGAAATTTCCTTCCTAATACATATTAGAGCTACAGGGAAACATATTCATTGGTCTTTCTTGATCTTTAAAAGTCTGATATTATTGCTTTCCACTTTCTTGTTCACATTACATGTATAGTTTTATTTACCAAATCCCTTTCCACTAAAAAAAATATATTGTCATGTAAAACTTAAAAAAAAAAAAGTAATATTGTCCCACTGTCAACTGTTTGCTTGACTGGATTTTCTTTTTTTAAAAAAAGGAGGGGGCCAAAAAAAAAAAAAACACAGATCCTTTTCCACGGATGCTGAGTTTGGCACCCCGCTGGAATCGTTATCCGAGTCCGCCATCATCGTCTCACCACAACCGGACTCATCACTTCGGTTCAGTGTAAAACCTAAGCGCTACGTCGGAAAGAAGTTCGACGGAATCTGAAATCCGGTTTGCGGAGTCCATGAACTGCTTTGGTCATGAATACATGACCCTGTGATTGTTCTTTTTAAAGACTCAAAGCACTCTGTTTTGGCAAATCTAAATTAGAATTCAGAACCACTTTGTGGTGAATGTAGGTACTAAAGACTCAAGCATCAATTTTAGACTGAAGCATAGTTTGTGTACTTGTGAGACATGTCGACAACTAGGCACACTGCACTAGTGAGAAAAAAGAAGGCACAGTAAAGTCATTAGATGAGAACAAGATTTGCCAGTTATCCATTTTTCCGTCTAAAAACCAATTTCTATTTTCGATTCGTTCAATTTTAGGAGGAGGCCGTCGTATCAGGCGTTTGCATTCGGTGATGAGCACCGAGCGCTCCTCATTACGTGGCAAAATTGTGTCCTTTCATTTCATCCTAAAATAATCTCTGCCATTTTTTTAATTTAATTTTTAGATATTCTAAATATTATATTTATAAATGTAAAAAACATAAAAAAATCCTGATCTTAAATCTGGATTGTCTTCTGCACTCATTTAAGAATGACAACCATGATATTTATAATATTTGATGAGATTTGGACCATCTAAATTTAAAATTCTTTTATTTTTAATTATATTTATCAAAATAATTTTAAAAAATATAAAAATTTTAATCAATTTGTTTATCATCAATCTAGCCAATGCAGATTTAATCTGAAATGTCTAATTTAATATTAAAATTTTTTATAATTTGACTATCCAGATGTACTTTAGATAATTTAGGTATAATCTGAATGACTCAATTTAATATTAAAATTTTAATTATTTTTACATATTATATAGATGTACTCTAGTCTTTAAACACTCTAGATTTATTAAATTTTTTTATAATTTTTATATTAATATATATATATATATATATAATATTTAAAGATTAATTTGAAATGAACGATGAAAATCATTTTAAAGTAAAATAAAAGGCTAAGATTTGGCCATATGTGATGAGTCCTCGCGACTTGTTACAGTGACGAGCATCAATGTGAACGTGTTGTATTAGTGGTGTTCCAACAGCACTGAGAGGCCAAAGTGGAAGACCCAAATGGAGACTAGATAGAGAAGAAGAAGAAAGGGAGATTGCGGAAGAAAAACCAATGAAAGAGCAACACGTGTATAAAAAAAATATAATATTTAGATAATACTAAATACAAATTAATTTTAATATTAATGATAGTGTAAGAAAAAAAGCAAAAAATTAAATAAACATTTTATTATAAAAATAAAATCAATTAAAATAATGTCATATAAAATTTTATTTAAATAATTTAGGTATTTTAATTTGGATAGACTATAAATGACGTAACATATCAAATCCACCTAAAAATTTTTTAAGATTTAACAGTCAATGCATGTCTGAGTTAATAATAGGGTAATATTATATTCTTTGTAAAAATTTTAAAGTGACATTATTCTTTAAAAAAAAAAGTTTAAAATGCCGAACACTCTCACATTTTCACCTTTTAACTCTATCTATGCAATTTTGTTGCTTGCTGTAGGTGGATCTTTAGGCTTTGAAATGCGCATATGAAATGGATAATAGAGTAAATAGACCCAATACAGACCCAACAGGTCTTGTTTATTGGAGGATGAGCTTTTTCACAAACAAAAAGGCCCACATATGAAGCGAAACTGTAGGACAACGTATTTTAGATTGAAATGATGATGCTGATAAAACAATTTGTTTCATTCTGATAAATATAATATTCTCATAAGCACCCACGGGATAATTTGGAAGCAATTAATAACAGTTGTTATTTTAATTTTTGTTTAGTTCATTCAGTTGGTAATATATATATATATATATAAATATATATATATATAATTTTTTTTTAGTTGTTCAAGTGGTAAAGGTGGGTTGGAATGTGGGTAGAAACCTTTTCAATTCATCAAAAAAAGATTAAAAAAAGTATCTAAAATTATTCTTTAATATAAACCATTTGTATGCTGGATTTTATGTCAAGGTGAAACACACCCAGTCATGAATCACTTATTAATTGGTTTGGTTTATTAAAGAAAAGAATATTAATCGTTGAAGTTAAGCATCTAATAATTAAAAACTAATATGGGATATATGATATCATATCTTTACTTAGTCAAAATACTTATTGACTTATATTTATTTTATATTTTTAAATAAAAAAAACCTTAAACCTCACTAATTCTGTCTGAAAACTTAATAATTTTTTAATTTTACTCTTACTAAATATATATATTCTAACAATATATTTTCTCTTTCGAACATTTAATGGATGATAAAAAAAAATTTGTAATGAAAATTTAATATTGTGACTTATAAATGAAATTAAAAAGCTCTTCTCTTTTTGCCCTATAAATAGAATTGGAATATGTAAATTATCAACTAAATACACTATATTAAAAAAAGGGAAATTTACTCAATAATTTGGCAGACAGAAATACTATAACTAACTTCAGCTCAACCAAAAAAAACAAAAAGTTAAAACTTCTCAATGACATTGAAATTATTCAGGAAAAAAATACATTATTGAAAAAAAATGATAGAGGCGAAAGAATAGAGACTTCGTTTGTCAATGAAAATACAATGAATCAACAAATATGTAACTAACTGACCCTAAAAAAAAAAAAAAACAAATATGCAGCTAAGGATCAAAGCCAAGTAAAAGAGGAGCCACTCTTAACAAAGGCTCCAACGCATTTGGCAGAAACTTTCTGGCAAAAAGGAAGCAAACGTTGGTAACATTACCATTATAAACACATTTCCCTCCAAACCTAATTCGATTCAAGAACTCATCTGTAATATCACCCCATCCAAATCTCCCTGGATGTGGACCCCCTCTTGACCAATCAACCCATGTAATACTACGTTTTGAGTTCATTTCATCGTACTTCATATGCACCAACGTCGGTATATAATGCTCGTCCATGTAACATGGTGGTAGACATAGTTTTTGAAAGATGGGGTAATAAGTGGTATCAGAAACTAGCTTGATTGCGAGGTCACGATGGAGTTCAAACCATTGAGACCCTTTTCGCCAATTGGTGATGTTGATCATGGGATACATCTTAGGGTTGTATCGCCCACGACCTGGCTTTCTTGGGTCGTCGAAAGAGCTTAAGAAGGAGAGAGATGAATTGATGAGGTAGTGGTAGATGGTGTTGAAGTTGAAGAGAGGGATGCATGATTCTGAGAGAAGAACAAAGCGTTGGTTGGAGATATCATCTAACAATGCATTTGCTAGAAGACGCCTTTCTGCATCTATCATTGATGAAGTTCCCCAAAAAACTGGCTGCAAAATATAAAGAGAAAATATGGTATTTTAATTTAAAGAACTCACTATAATCAATTATATATCACTTGAGACAAGGAGATCTCTATATATACTAAAACAAGTTGAGAACATTAGGGCTTGTTTGTTTCTGTGTTTTCCAAATACTCCTTTATATATATATATTTTTAAAAAAAACTCATTTGAGCAAGTGTTTTATAAATGTTTTCAAGACGGTTCTATTTTTTGTTTTTCAAAAAATGAAAATAGTTTTTTATTTTTATTTTTAAAGCACACTATATTTAACCATTAAAAATTATTGCCAACTATAACTAACCATTATCATAGATTATCATTATTAATCACTAGCAATTATCATTATCAATCTATTTTTAAAATTATTTTTAAATTAACATAGTTAGATGCATTTTTTTATTTTGTTTTGAAAAACAATTCTTAAAGCTATATTATAAAACAACATTTAAACAGAATGAAAACACAGTCAAACATGCCCTTAACATAAAGTTTCTGGGTTCTTCATGTTTTCTTGCATTACAACCAAGTAGTTATACATCAAGGGTATATTATAGTCACTATCAAAAGTTATTATTATTAATCACTAGCAATTTTAAAAAACAATTCTTAAAACTGTATTATAAAACAACATCCTTTAAATAAAGTTTCTAGGTTCTTCATGTTTTCCTTCATTACAACTGGGTAGATATACGTCAGTAAATTATAGCACTTTATTGTAATGAGGAAAAAGGTTGGTGTCAAATTTTTAATTTAGTATGCCTGGATGGTCTACTTCTCCAAAAATGCCTTTAATCTTTTAATTAGACACATCTCAAGCTTTATATATATTCATGATCCATCTTCTAATTCTAAATATAGAATTTCTTTTATCTCTAATGGTTAGTAGTTTAATTTGTGCAAATATACAAAGTAATTGTACTATGTTGGATAGATTGCTAACCTTGCTGGGGATTCTTCTACCAAAGAAGACAGAATCTTCAGGCACCGTTTCATTAAAAGAAGGATGCTGATGTAAGTAAATGTTGTATAATTCTTCATGGCCTTTGAAAAATCTCTCCCACAAGGGTCCTAGTGGCAGTGTTCCTTTTGCCAAGAAAATGAAAGCCACTTTAGGGTTTGTCTTATGAGAAGAAGCATCGTCATGTCGTGTTCCTCGTACCTTGATTGCTTCCAAGAATAACTCTTGGTCTGTCATATTGTGCATGAGATAAGACACCTTGGTTGTAGTACTTCTGATAATACTACTTGTGTTCGACGTTGATGTTCCGCCGTATTCCGGTTGTGGCGAAGCCAGAGCTGGTGGTGGTTGATACGGTGGCTGTGAGGAGGCGGCCGGATTTACGTGGTAAAGAAAGTACTGTAAATGGAAAGAAAAGGCTCTGAAATATAAGGTTGCTACTGTTCCTAGGGAGATACCAACAATGAAGAAGACAAAGTGATGGAAATGGTTCAAGTTTAGATGAAAATGAACATTGGATGGTTTGAGAATTCTCTGATAGAAATGGTTATGTTCCATTGTAACTGTTTCTTCTTCACTCACAAATGGAAAATGAAAGAAGAGATTGAGATTCTTATATTAAGTCTCAAAAGGCAGCTCTAACTAGAATACTTTAATTTGAGCTCAAGTTATGGAGGACTAGATTAAAACAAAAAAATAAAAATTGTCTGAATTCAAATTCTGGTCAAAGAAATGATAGAGAAGCAAAAAATTAATATATAGCAAATTGTTGCTTCTTTATAATTGATGTTAATTGAAGTAAAGAGAAGTCAATATAGTTGGAAAATGTTTTATAGCATTTTTTTGATATTGTGTTGCTGTACTGCCGCGTTATTTATATTTTAATAACTTAATATAAATTCAAGTCTTCTGCTGTCACAAATTAATTGTATATTAAGAGGAACAGGTTTATTAAGCAATATAATAAGAGTTCATCATTTGATCAAAAACGAAAAAAGAATTCATCATAATTGTCCATTTGCTATTAAACTTTTCACATTGCATGGCGCCTTTTGCATTAATATTTTGAGTAACAAATATATATTTATATATGGTTGTGACTTGTGATGGACTCTTACTATCTCTTATAACATCTTCCTTTTACTAAACATAAATTAGTCAAATTAAAAAAGGCATATAAAGAGGAGAAAGCATAATCACATAGAGTGAATTTCTACCCAGCTCACATCCATGTGCCACACATTCATGATTTTTAATTTATTTTTTATTCTATCGACCACTATTATGGAAAACTTAGAGGTATTAATACCATTTGCCCAAACTAGTCCAAACCCCTGATATGTGAAACCATTATCACCGACAATGATTTCACAAATACCTTAGTGATAATTTAACATGGTTATATATCCCAAAATTCAAACTCTAGACTTTATGATAAACAAATTAGACTCTCACAATTAGTTGAACCAAACATCCCTCAATTATTGAGCTTTAATTTAAATTATAAGAGAAGGTTATTTAAATAATATTAATTGAATTTAAAAAAAAAAATCACAGGAGAATGTTCATAATTAATACACACGCACACTTGGTAGATATATGCGTAAATAAAGCAATTGAAATGATAAATTTAAAGCTAGTAAATAGGTAGGAAGGTCTTTGCCAAGGCCTTACCATGATTGAATAAGCCTAATTAACTTGACTTATTTTCGGAAAACCCGGAGCTGATTAATAAATGTCATGTGGTAGCTCCTCTAATTACGGTTTTAATCACCCAAAGAGCAACGCAATTGAATGCGCAAAAATCTTATATTTGTCTGTTATTCTTTCACTTAACGCCACCCCATTCAATAGCTTCTTGGTATGAAACTTGACTTCTTTTTTTTTTTTTTTTAATGGCTGAACCTATTAATCTTAGACTTGCCTAATTTGATATCCTTTCAGAATGAATGAGATGTGGTTAATTAAGATTGATTTTGATTAGGACAGTTAAGATCCCAAAAGAGTCAACTTATGATAGTTCAGTCCCTGAAACATTTTAAAAAAATTGATCACAAATATCAATATAGACCACTACAAACAAAATTTTAATTCCAAATTGAGGATTATATTAAAAATATAAATATTTCATTTGTAATTGACACCCCTAAATTTATAATTGTTATAAATCAATATTTGCTACTCATTTTTTTTTTTGGAAAATGTATCTGGACCTTTTTAGGGCTTAACTATATGTCGTTCTTGGTCTTAATCTTCAAAATGAAGGTAGAGTTTGGTCAGATAAGTACGGAAAAATTGTGACTGAGAAGCATGTGACAGCTAGCCCCAACTAGGGAGAAGTAAAACCAGGAAAATACACAGACGTGAAAAATAAAAGAAAAGGAATATCTTCTATCTTCTATAGTATCTAGCAAGTGGCTTTTTTTCCTCCACTAATTTCTGTTTTGTCCTTTCTTTTAAAGTAGATGTCACCACTGGTTGACCAAAAGAAAAAGATGTTACTATGGATAGGCCAAATTCATGCCAAACATGACCTAACAATCCACAGAGATAATGCCTACTGATTAATGAGCTGAGACTCGAAATATTTTGATCCAAACAGATGAGTCTCCCATGTATTGTATTGGAACTTCAAGATAGATCGCGTTGTTCATGCCTAGAGTACTATGTCAAATTTTGCACAAACTTTTTCTGGTCTTGTTATTGTTGGAGCGCTTGAGATTAGCACAATGCTTGCAAAGGTATCTATAGGATTAGGCGTTACTCTGTGTTCTCTCAAAAAAATGCTGAGATTTGGATTAAAACTTGCTAACATGAGATATCAAGTCTCATATTAAGTACAATAGGATACTCAATGAAATATTTAAGTGGGATAATTATCTCACCTCAATAACTAACCTTTGGGTAGAATTCTCCATCCCATTTAAATGTCCATCAAAATCATGTTAGCTTTTTATGAAAGGCCAATTGATATAGACTTAATAGTATGGAATGTCAAGACCTACATTGAACAAGCATAAGATGTTCAATGAGGTATTTACGTGGGTGGGTTCAATAGTTCCCTTATGAGATAATATCCAAGTCACAATGGACCAACCATGCCTATAGATCCAAAACAAGCTTCATCTTTCCTAGCCATCAATAAAAAGAGCGTTTGCTTATTTGGTTCACAACATTTCCGGGCCAAGTTGTTCCAAAAGTTCATGTGCTTTGTTGACCAAGTTAAGTCATGCACACTGTTTGAGTGTGCTATGAAACTACCTGAAACTACCCATTAATATCAGATTCTCTATGCGAGAACTCATTCAAAAAGTTCAATGATATAGTCATAGTTTAAACCCCCACCCAAAAAAGAAAAAACTTTTTTGTTATTTCCAATCATCTATATCATATATATCCTCCTCCTTTTATTCAAGATAAATATCATTATCACGAAGGATAAATCACACATACATAATTATAATTCACAGCTTTGTAGCAGGACATTCCAGTATTTGAATCTGCCAATAGAAGTGAGAATGTTCTCGCTAGCCAATATTTACAAAACATAAAACCGTGACAATGAACAAAGATGCTCACCAAAGCTGACAATGGAATTGTTCAGCTATTTGCACGAGCAAAACTTGAGTTAGCCTCAGGTAAATCACTCTTGACAGACCAGTGGTTATCCTGCAGAGTAAAAGGAAGTAGCCGAAAAGTTCCATGTGCAGCATTTAAATTCTGGTAGGATGGAAACCTGGGGAAGATCTTAAATTGATGGATTAAGAGCTCTTTCTATTTCCTCGAGCGATCGACCCTTCGTTTCGACAACATTACCAGCTATGTACAGGACAGCGAGAAGACAGACGGCGCCAAACCCCAAGTATACAGAGCTGATGCCAAATTTGTTGACGACACTCAAGAAAAAGAGGCCAATGGCGAAGTTGGAGATCTGATAAGATAGAAAATTCAGTTTCATGACTAGCAAAATTCTCAGGCATGCAATGAAATCAGCGTGGGAGTAAAATTTATGCTGCCACAATCACATTCATCATGTTTCACTAGAATTAAAAAAAAAAAAAAAACCTTAAAACTCACTAATTCTATCAAAAAATTGAATAAGTTTCTAATTTTAACCTTATTAAATATACTTATTTTAATAACGTACTACTTTCTCTCACCAACATTTACTATGGGGTAAAAGAGAAAATTTATGAAAAAGATTTAATAACGTAACTTATAAATAAATAAAAAAAAGTTCCTTCTCTCCTTACCTTATAAGTAGGACCGGAGGGAGTACTTTAAAATTCATACACCACTTTTTTAATTAGGTGGAGTCTCACTCCCCCTCCCTAACTTTGTTTTCTATGAACTTTCAGAGGCAGTAACTTGTATTCGTGGTAATCACAGTGGCAATTAGTTCTCTTATCAGTTACTTTATGCAATTTTAACTTATTTTCTCCTTCTAGGAAGTATTTTAAAGCAGTATAAGGGCAATAAATAGAGGTAAATTTTTTTAATTCTAGAAATAAGTCACTCACCCAATGCATGCCAAATGACAAAGCAACTGCTTTTGCTCTTATTCTAGAAGCAAATATTTCTGGTAGAAGAAGGCCAGGCACAGGACCAGCACCGAGAGAAAAGGACAAGACATAGCTGTTTAAAATTCACAGACCATGGAGTCAAAAGATATGAACACCACCGGCAAAAAAAAAAAAATTAAAATCATCAAGGTTTGAGCATTTCAATGAGAAGGAAATATCATTAGTGACAAAAATAAGTAACTTACAGAACAGTTCCAAGGACAGCAAGTGTACCAGAATACGGCGCAAGGACCTTCCAAGTAAAAGACAGAGAAAGGAGCAACATAGAAGCAGCCTGGGTGGGTGTGAGAGAGAGAGAGAGAGAGAGGAAGGGGGGCTGTTAGCTATACATGAACATAAGATGCTGGAAATCTCAGAAAGATATGATCAATTAGACCAAAAATGTAACTTAATGAGATAAGACTTGTCGCTGTTGTGGACTAAAAATGTAACTAATCATCAGAAAAAGCAATAAGAACTAAAATAATAACAAATATAAAAATGTGAATAAATAAAAACATAGGCTGGCACGCAAATTCTTTGAATATAGGAAAAATAGTTATCTGATGAAAATTGTTTAGAGAGAAATGTTAATTTTTAAAATGTTTAAAAGCTTCACATTGCAGCTGCATCAAGCAATTTCCTCAAATCCAACTCAAGGAGCTCTGTACCCAAAACTCATCCCACTTCACACATCCTCTCATGCTTCAAACCCCTACTTCTCTCTCTTCCATCACGCCAACCCCCAATCAGCCAGACAGGTATTTATTGGTGTCAATTCCCTGTCTTGCCGTTCCTGGTAGCCCAAAAATTTCAACCCAACGCCTCTAACAAACCACCCAAAGCCCTTACCAGAGATCACATGCCAAGTAGCATTCTTGGTTCATATTCTAACATCTGAATCTGAAACTTATCAATGTGACATGAATGGGATAGAATGTTCATGAATGACAAGCAGATCAGCACATAGTACAACGAACACGTTTCCTTTTCTAA